GTAAATTGTTTTATTCTCACCTACCTGGCGTATGGTAGATGCTCAGTAAATATTACCAAGTGCGTGCATTATTCAGTGACCTCAGCTAGGCATTTGCTGCTGGTTAGAGAATTCTGGTTGTTTGAAGGGTGTCAGAAGGCATCTGGACCCCTCTTGTGCAGGTGGAATTGACAACAAACACAATCTTGTCCTGCAGGGCGACCACAAATGTTCCCTACGAGCTTAGAAAGAAAACTCTTAAGATTTTTCTTCCGGGTGTTCCACTCTGAAATGTACACATGACAGATGACATTGGAGACACACACATCAAGCTTGAAGGTGCAGAACAAGAGAAAGAGTTGAGAAGGAAGCACGAGTCAGTCTTCTGAAGGACTTAACTCTACCTTCAGGTTGGAGAGGGCTGGAGAGGGATGGAAGTCAGAGCAGGATGCATCAAGGAGGATGGAGGGGACAGTGGCATGGAAACAGAGCAGGAGGTGGCATGGGAACAGAGAAGAGGTACAAGAGGTAGATCCCTGGCCCAGGTCCATCACCTCAGCCTCTGCCTTCAAGCTTACTAAGCTGCTTTCAGGACACATTCAGGCTTCCCACTGAGTTCATTCACAGTCATCAGGACGTTGACTTGTGTGACAGTCGGAGCTTAGACACTTCACTTCCCAGTGAGCACAGAGTGATGTGAGTCAGCTTCAGGACCTGCTTCCCCGAGTTGTGACATTGAGATATGGCATCCTGGCATAGGTGGCTGGCTAGCTTCCAGTCTTCTCAAATCTGAGAAAATACCCTTGAGGCAGATACATTCCAGAATAACTCCTCTGTCCCAGGGACTGGTGAGAGAGGTTAACTCTTACTTTAGCTGTCTGAAGATTAAAGAACCCATTACTATGCACAACACACATTTGAAATGTGTTGTGGATAAGTAGTGTTGCCTGTCTGATATTTTCTGAGGCTTCTGGCTGGGCAGAACCATGCTCTGGTCCAGGTAACAGTGTTCCGCCAGGAAGCAGACTATGATTCCCGTGTGCTATCCTAAGACTGAGGTCAGCAGGCTCTTGACTCAGGCAAAATTGAAGATATTGGATGGAAATGTTCACACAGTGCCATGAAATATTATCCCCCAGTTTTAGTGAATCAGGCAGCAGGCTGAATTTGGCTGACAGAAGTTTTGGACATTCCCCCTTTGTTTCCCCCCCCCCCCCCGAGATAGAGTTTCTCTGTGTAGCCCTGGCCATCCTGGAACTAGCTCTATAGATCAGGCTGGCCTTGAACTCACAGAGAGCCATCAGCCTCTGCCTCCCGAGTGCTGAGATGGTCACCAAGCCCGGATAGACCCTTTTCCTAAACTAATCATACTCACTTTCCCAGTCTTCCCTGCGGGGTGGTCATGTATCTCTGGCCATTAAGGGGACATCTCTAGGGGAGGGGTGGCCAGTTAATGCTAGATGACTGGAGGCAGGTGCTAGGTCAACCTTGGACAACATGCCTTCAGTCACAGGGCAACAAAGAGGAAAAGCCCTCAGGGAAGACCCTGAAGCAGACAGCACAAGCTTGGCGGTTCTAGCAATCCATTCACCTCTTGTCAGACGAGAAAAATGAAATAGTGCTTTGGATTATGCAGGTAGTGGTCAGTGTCCTTAGTGTGCACGGTCTCCTCAGCTAAGAGATGTCAATAGTGTCTGCCCTGCTCCTCCCACTTTCTGAACACCCCCCTCTCCCATGCTGGTGCACAGATGGCATTTGTTCTCTGTGACCTTTCTACTCCCATCTGACTCACCAGCTGTTAGATTTGACCCCATATTAGGCAATCTGTGAGCTGGCCAGTAACTCGTGACCTCTTTGGCTTCACTCAGATTAGCGGGATCAACCTCACTGATTCATTCGCAGGTAAAGGAACTAATGGATGACACGCTGGTTCAGTGGGGAAATGAGCTTGCTGCATGAGCCTGGTGACCTGATTTTGATTCCTGAAACCCATGGAAGAGGTGGAAGGAGAGAACTCCAAAAAGTTATCCTTTGAATGTCCACATACATGTAAGGTTGTACACACACACACACACACACACACACACACACACACACACACACACACATTCTCTCTCTCTCTCTCTCTCTCTCTCCAGCAAAACTCTATTTGCTCAAGGTATGGAAAAGAACAGAAAAAGAGCTAGGACTTTTTCTTTGGTTCTTAGCAGGGTCGAAAGGACGTAAACACTGGTGGAGCCAGTGAGCGATGAAAGAACGCTGTGCAAACAGGGTGGCACCAGGCTTGGCAGATGCTTCCCATGTAGGTTTGCTTCCAGCCCCTTCTTTGAAGACCAGCTTGTGTGGCTCCGTTTTCTGACTAGTTGCCGATACATCCCGCCCCCGATATTGGGGATGGAAGCTCCGGCCTTAAGGATGAAGCTCGGGCCTGATGGGAGCACTCTACCTCGGCCCCGCCTTAAGCTCGTTGTTTGATGCCTCCATTCCAAATGCGGCCTGCAGCTCTCCTGGGGGGTTTTTCAGACCAGAGCCATTTTAGAATGTAGAGCTCTGCCCTGGTCAGCATTCTCTCAGTTTCCTTGTTCTTCTTGAAGTAAGGTCTGGATAGGGGAAGGGAAGATGGGCAGTGCCAAACTCCTTCTCAAAAGGCTACCCTCAGTGCCACCCGCCCCCATGTGGTTCTCTGTAAGCTATTCCAGGCAGAGAGGCTGGGGACGGATTTAGCCTTTTTGAGCATCTGGATTTGTACTTCTCTGGAGCCACAAGAAACAAGGTGGGGGGGGCAATTTAAAAAAAAATCTTTCCAAGTGGACGGCGACCATGTAGCCCCCTGGGGGCATAGAAAGATGGGAATAGACTAGGGGTCAAGAGGGCTCTGAGGAGTCAGAACGGTGATACAAAGAAGGATGACGGAGGTTTCAGACACTGTCAGCAACCAGAACCAGGAACTGGTTGATGTAGGGGCTGAGGCAGGAGGGGGCTGGCCAACTGGAAGGAGGATCACATGTTATCACAGAAGGGCAGGGCACATATGCTCTTGGGAACATAAGGGACTCTCAGTGCACAGTAGACAGGCTGGGTGGATTGACTGGGAGGCTGCAGTATGCTTGGGGCTTGTTTAGAGCTGGGGATCTGTGAGGGAGATCCTGGAAATTTGGAGATCTGCAAAGCCAAGAAGCTGGAGAGTGGAGGAAGCTGGGCATCTCACGGGCTTTGTAGGAAGTAAGCGTCCTCTACACACTTGCCTGGGAGGTCGAACACACATTTGGAGCTCAAGAAATGACCTGGGAGTCATTTATGTGCAGTCGTTGAGGTGTGGTGTGGAGGAGGTCATGTGGAGAGTTGAGAAGAGGAATACAATCCTGGCAAACATTTAACTGTAGAAGGAAGAGCCTTTGGGGGAAGGAAGAAAAAGGAGAAGGGAGTCATCTCCAGTGGCCTGTTCATTTCCTGCACACCAGGGAAGAGGCGGCACCAGACCAGATGCCATTAACATGGGGGATGAGCCCAGGGAAACTGGAGGTCCCTGGTGAGTTGCAAAAGCATCCCAAGAAGAGTGTGGGAAGCAAGGAAAAGTGAGTGGTTAGATGGCAGCTAGGATCCTGGGGTGGGAGGCACGGATGACACTTTCTAAAGACAAGGAAGAGGACTTGGACAAAGCGGTGTCCTTTAAAGCTTGCTTCCATCCTTGCCACACCTCATAGGATCATCCTTTCCCCAATCATCTGTCTTCAAGCCTTATCTATCCTTTAACATCACACCAGGGCGAAGGCCTCATGTCTTCTATGAACTTCAGGGACAGTTTCTAGTCAGACATGTAGGATGGGCTGAGAGGCCACACACTGGAGGACCCCAGAAACGATGCAGTCTCCTAGGTTTTCCTGAAGTCACTTGTAATCTCCTGATACCCCAAGGGCACACCATTCCATCTATTCCTCTTGGCCACGATCCTGTCATAGCCCAGGAGTGAGGTCAGCAGCAGTGATTTCTTAGCTACAAAAACAAGGCCCCCGGAGGCCTTTGCTGATGATGGACTCTTTCCATGCTCTGCGGCCATCTGAACCTCATTCACACTTAGTTCCTGGTGTGGGAAGTGGCAGTGTGCCCAGGGGACAGGGTCATGAGATGATGGCCATGCGTGGCACAAATACCGAGTGAGCTGTCCATGCTATCCACTTCCACAGACCTAAGCTTTTGAAGCAAACTATATATATATATATTCCTGGCACCTGGTGTAACTGCTCCTTTGTACCCGGGGGCTTAGGGGAGGTCAGTACTGAAAATCCAGATCCCAGCTCTCTTCATCAACCCCTTTTTTCTAATCCCTGCTCCCATTTCCTTTTAGCCTTGTGAAACAACCGAGAGGGCTTGGCACTGTGGTACTGCCTCGGGCAGACTCCCTCCTCAGTAGAGGATGGAAACGCTTGGCTCACAACACGCTCCATGTTGGCACCAGAAGCTGGCTCTTCGGGTGTCTGGACATTGCTTAGATAGCTGTCCACTGCTCACAGTTATCGCTCTCATCCAGGCTGGATAAGGGTGGCTGGTATTTTCTTTTTAGAGACTAAATTGCTTGTGATCCATGGGACGTAAGCCTCTACTCAGAGCTAAGGAACATGACTCCTAGGTGTGGGTTTCCTCAACATTTACACACTTGGGTGTGTATAGCCTGTCATGTAATGTTTTGCCACTTGTGCTGAAAGCCATTGTGTTCCCTGAGGCCCTCAGAGCATCACAGGTTCATGGGGGTGGGGGTTTACAAGGAGAAAGCTTGTGCTTATGTGACTTTAAAAACCGACCGAGTTCCAAAGTCCGTTAGTCTCGCTAAGAGATCTGAAGGACAGTAGTGACCATGTGGAGGAAGGACAGAGCCACCTCGTCAAATGTTTCTGACCTAGACACCCCTCCCTCCACAAATCAGCAAGATGGACCTAGACTTTCCTTGTGATGGTCTAAGGATTTCAGAAGAAGGAGGCTCTCTATGAATTCCAGGCCAAAGATGGACAGTTTGCACAGTCTGAACAAAATATAAGTACTCTTACCAATAAATAGGTTTCAAAATGATAAATAAGGCTCTTCCCTGTCGGCAGCTGGAACCCCAGGGAGAAGTGACGGCACAGACAGGCACAATGGACTATGTACAGAGTGTAAACAGTAAGGCCCATGGGGGGAATGGTGAGGGCTGCGGCAGGTGAAGGGCACGTACAGGCTAGGAGTGTGGGGAAGGGCGCAGCGGGCTCAGAGCGGGAAAATAACAGATTTGTATGGCGGGCTTTCAATACCGCCACCAATGCTTGCTGTGTGGTGGGGGCTACGGTAGGACTTCCTGACTTCCTCCAGATGGCAGCAAGGAGTCCAAACTGTCACCTGATCTTTTCACTGGAAGCTGCAAAGCAAGAATTTGTAACCTGTTCCTCCCCCAAGGGTTGTGGCCGAACCTAAAAGTCTTTTGCCTAGATTTCAGGACCAACTGACTACGCAGTTTCTCAGACTGGAAGAGAAGAGCAAATCCCGCGGCCTCTCCCTTCCAGGAAGAGCGCTGGACACCGATGTCCAGCAGGGGGCGCCATAATCCACCTCCTTCGAAGTGCTCTGACCCCCGGTCCAGCTCCCGTCGCTTTGCGGGGTGAGATGGAGCAGCCACCGTGGTCAGAGTCCTGGATCCGAGCGAAGGCAGCGTCCCACAGAACGCCCACCCCTGGCCCCGCACGTCCCCCAGCCTGGGTCTCGGTCCCTAAAGGTCAGTCTCGCGGAGGCTGCTGTAGTCCGCCGGCTCACACGCCTGGCAGATGACGGCCTCGGCCCCGTTCTGGGGAACGCTCAGGGACACCGCCTCCACCTCGGCGCGCAGGGCGCTCGCAGCCTCGGCGCGCCGCGCGCCCCCGGAGCGGATCTTGTGGGACAGGCTGGACACCTTGGCGCGCAGCTGGGTCGTAGGTCTCTGCAGAGGCCCGAGCAGACTCCACTCCCGGAGCGCGGAGGCTGGCTTCCGACGGCCGGCGACGGGGGCCTGCGCGTCGCTCGAGTCTGCCGCGCCCGGGCCCGGGGGTGCAGTGAGGGCTAGGGGAGCCCCGGGGGGCGCGGCGCGAGGGCTGGGGGCGCAGCCGGGGCGCGGCTCGCCCGTCGAGGCTCGCCAGTGGTGGCCGTAGACGCGCCAGAGGCGGCGGCGGCGGCGGCGGCACTGGCAGCGCAGGAGGCGGAGGAAGGCGCGCTTGAACTCGCGACTGGAGCACGGGTAGATGAGCGGGTTCACGCAGCTGTTGAAGTAGCCCAACCAGAAGATGACCTTGAAGACGCCCTCGGACGGCTTCAGCTGCGGGAACAGAGAGCCTGCAGGGAACAGAGACCCGGCTGGTTAACTGATGGGGGTCGGGGGAGGGTTGACACCGAGTCCTGGGGTAGGGGCTCTGGGGGTGCAGAGTGTCTCTCTGTGAACATAGATGGGGAAAAATAGAATCACGTTCCTGTTTTCCGGGTCCGACCTGATGGGAAGCTTTTTGGGCGTAGGCGACAAATGCGGACCGGAAAGAGACCAGACCACACAGGGCTCCACAGTCTTTGCCACCGAGCGGCTCAGCTACCGCGGACTGTGCGGACTGTGCCGAGCTCTCTTTGTGCTCCCTCTCTTGAGGAGGCCCGGCTCCCTAGGAGACACCAGCTAGTCTTGTTCTGTGGAAGCGCAGCTCTGCAACAAGTCTCACGTAAAAGTATCTGGACGACTTTCCTCAACAAAATGAGCTCGTCTGCAATCTTTTGCACGGTGTCTTAGGGCACAGCGTCTCTGCAGGGCACCCCACTGCCAAAGCGCAGAAAGGGAGAGAAGCCCAGGACGAGGGCGGGACCAAGCTTGCCCAGGGCCGCGGGCTGTGGAGGAGTCAGGAGTCGTGAAGCCTGGCGCTGGCTCTGGGGGACCGTGTGATCACCACTGAACCCCGGGCTGCGGGCAGCCTCAGGGCAGACGGGGCAGGCACGGCGCCAGTGGCTGTCCTGGAGGACAAACTCATCATACCTCATCTAGGCTCCCTAGTGGAGGCCTCGAATGAAGGCACAGCTCTCCTTCTGTGGGTAGTTAGAAGCCCCGGGCGTTTTTAAGCAGGTGAGAGATACAGTCCAGAATACAATACTCATGGCTGTCAAAAAACATAGGCCTGTAGGGCAGTCCCAGGGAAAGTGGTGAGGAAAAGCTCCTGGCATGGCTTTGGGTGGGGAGGGGACGGGGACAGACACCAGACAGGTGGCACTGAGACCCTGTTTCCCACAAACCTCTCCCTTAGTATTCCCAGCACGTACCCTAAGGAAGCCGCTCTCAGGGAGAGCGGGCGGAGTGCAGAGGAACAGTCCAGAGGCCACTTTCTCGCCTACCTTACCCTCAGCAGAAGTTGGGGGTCCAGGAGCTTCATTCTAGACACACCCATAAGGCAGAGCAGGCCAGGAGTGGCCTTCCTTGACAAATCCTGGCATTTTCGCTCTGCCCTTGATTTCCTGAAATAAGGTCAGTGTACCTCCTCCCGGGGGGGGGGGGCGGGGAGACATCACGCTCCACACGTTAACTGCCTTGCATGTCGCCTGCTACCCACGTGGGGAAACGGTTCCTAGCGCTAAGAGACGGTGGGAGGAGAGGGCAGCATCCTGCACAGCCCAGCCTTCTAAAATCCCGCTCATGCCGCCCTTGGCAAGCTCCTCGGCCACTGAATCTCACTTTCCTTTTCCGTGAACTGCAGGCAATAATGCTTGTCTGGATGGGGTTCCAGGCAGACTCACAAATTTCAGGGCTCAGCGCTTAGCAGGATTTTAATCTAAACATGTTTGGCTGGGGGTAAAGGTCAGTGCTAGAGAACTCATACTGCAATCGAGAGCCCCGGATTCAATTGCCAAAACAGCAAGCGAATCACCTACCTATCAATCCACCTGCTCACCCACTCCTGGCATCCACTTACTCCTCCCCTGTCCTGAGGCTCTTCAGAGAGGGTGCCTCCCTGGGAAGGGACCTACTGTCCATATCTAGAGAGTGGTCGGAAACAGTAGCTGAAATATAGTGGGTTTGTGGGTACCAGGGCTCAGTAAGGCTAATTCCTCCTGGGAGGGGGGTTAGGCAGTCCCTGGAAAATGCCTTCAGAAGGACCCTGCCCTGCAGGGAGAGAGCCCCCAAGAATAACATCCCTCAACTGCGGCGGAGTGAGGCCAAGCACTAGAAATAACATTCTGGCTCAGACTACAGTCTTTGCTATTTAGCGGTGGGTGACACATCAGTGGACTATGCTTCCCAGCGGTTGTCGCCAGCCTGGGGTTTATTCCGATCTGTGGACAACACCACATGTTTTAGCACTGCCCCAGGCTTACTGCAAACATGGATGCTTTAATTTATGCACAGCTGACTGTGCGGAGTCGTCCGGAGCGGGGAAGTCCTCACACACGAAGGGGCTGGTGTTCACAGGCAGCCTTCCAACCCCAACAGTTGCTGCTGCTTCCCTTGGGGTCTGCTTAGAAGCACGCTCTGGGACCGAGTTGGTGGGCAAGCCTTTAGCCAGGGAGGGAAACACCTTAGAGAGGTACTGAGGCAGGAGGGCGCTAACGTGGGAAACCGAGGTTTAACCCCAAAGGGGCTTTTGGGCTCTCCCACCAGTGGGAGGGATGTGGGCATCTGCCGTTCATTCTCATCAGTCGCCAGCTGCTTTCTGCCTGCTTCGTGGATGGACTACAGGGATGGGTTAGGGTTAGGGTTAGGGACAATGTGGAACCAGGGGTGCCTAGTGGAAGGTAGGTAGGTTGTGGGGGCTCCGCTCTCACGGATGGACTAATGCTGTCTGGTGGGAGTGGGCCGGGTCTCTTGAAACTGGAACAGTTCCCACAACAGGGGGATAGAAAGCCAGGCCACCCACATACCTGTTCCTTCCATAAACAGTCATTCCCTTTCCTGCTTCCTCTTTCATGCTGCGATGCTTCCACGAGCCCTTTCCAGATCTGATATTGTTCGGGCTTCCCAGCTACCAGAACTGTGAGGCGAATAAACCTCTGCTCTCTCTATAAGGTAATTAACCTCGCTTGTTTTGTTATAGTCACACAGCACAGACTAAGACTATGAAAGTCTCAATGGGTTCCCTCCTCCTCGGCTCCAGTGGGCTCACTCTCCCATCCTGAACATTAGCCTCTGATTTCTTGCGGGCACAAAGTCCAGCTGGGAAAATTCACTTTAGAAGTTGTTTTTGGCAGGGAGGTGCCTGCGTGCTGCCCTGCTGTAGCCTCTGCCTTTCTCGAGGCCCCTAGTGTGCAGCCCCGCTCTGGCATTCTCTGTCTGATGTGTGTCTTTGCATGAGCTTTGTGGCCACTCTGCCCTCTGGCTGTGCTTGTGAGGGGCTCCCTTCTCCTGCTTTTTTACTGTTATGCATGGCTGTCCCCGATGCTCTTCCTACACACTTGGCAGTGATAGCTCCCCATGCGGTGGAAATTCCACCCCGTTTACATTTAGCCACAAGCGGGGTCCTCCTACTTGGGCCTTGCTCTAGCTCCCCCTCCCCCACCGCCGCTCAGTTTCTGTTCAGCTGGCTTGGTCGGCACTGGTCCTTTTCAGTTAGCTGTCTCAGGATTTATCACGGAGACTGCAAAGGCGACTAGCACCCACGTGGTGTTAAGAGGTCTAGCTCTGTGTCCTGCAGCTTGAACATTGCTGGTCGGAAAAGCACCTGCCTGGTCAGCAGGTGAATGCGATGGCTGGCCCAGCCTGGCACACACTGGGGAAACGAAGGCAGGAGCTCCTTGCAGCCTGGTTTATCTGAGGCCAGTTCTATCCCCCAAGGAGCAGAAAGGCTGCCTGAGGAGGAGCTGCTGGGATTTTGGGTAAGACTGAGAGATAAAAGAGCAAACAGGTCAAGCCTGGGGGGGAGGGGCAGCTGTGAGGGTGAGGGGAGGGCTCTGGGATTAACAGCCTCTGCTGGCATCCCCAGAAAGGAGCACCTCCTTGGCAAGTTGTCAGAATTCACAGCCAGCCTCGAGCATAAGTCATAGCTGGCCATGAAATATCAGACTGTGTCCCCCCCCCTTCCTCCACTAGTGACCTCTGATGACAGTATGATTTTCCTCTGGCTGAGAGATACGAGGAAGGAAAAAACCTGCCATCTTCTGATGCTCCTGCCCCCTCCCACCAGCAGGGTCAGGAGAGAAGGACTTGGAATCTCAGATGACCCAACTCTCCTAGCTCTTGAGATGGCCATTTGGTGGCTTTTACAGGCCCGCCTCCTCAAGAGACTTTGGGCCTCTGTCCCTACAGTCAGACAAACCTCTCTGATAGCGTACTCAAACTGAGGACCCTATAAGGAGGGAGGCTAGACATTCATCTTGGGAAAGTAAATTCTGGGTAAAGGCAAGAGCATGAGCAAAGGTCCTAAGGCAGCAAGAATACCTCACAGTTTGGAGGAAAAAAAAAATCCAGAAAGTTCAGATGGCTTTAGAGGAGCAGGAAGTGAGGGAGAGTGAAAAGAAACAAGGCCACTTAGAATTAGAACTAATCATGGAAGGCTGTCAGGAAGAGGTGGCGTAGGTAAGAACTGGACCTCTTATAGATTAAGAGGACATGAAGGGCATATTGAGGGCACTGCCAGCTTCCCATGGTGAAGGGTCACTGAGAGTCTTCTCGTTTGAGATGGAACAGGAATGGGTCAGCTGTTCTTCTGGGCCCCTGGGATTGCCTTTCTCAGGGCCGCTGGGCTCCCTGGAGCTGGCAGAGAACCTTGACTTTGGTCTCCATTATGGCATGGTAGGGCAACCCTCAGAGTTCAGTAACTCTTCCTGTCTCTTTACTTCCCCACTCTCTTGCCTTCCTCTCCCGCTGTGTTACTTCCTTACTGATCTCCCCTGCTCTAATCTGTGGCCTCGCACAAGTTGAGTGGCAGGGGCTGCAGGTCTGTCCAGTGGCTCCTGTGCTCAGCCAGGCTAGTCTTACTCCAAGCAGGAGCGTCTCTGGGTCTGTGCAGGATAGAAACTTCTGCCTAGGACAGAATGTTCCCCCTGGAGGTGATCGCCATGGTGGGAGTCCCAGCACTGAGCAACCTGGACACTGAGCAATCACAGCTCCAACATCTGTTCCGGTTCACCACTGGCAAGGTGGGGAAGGTACATCTTCCACCCACCCAGGGCTTACCTCAGGGACCACGGCGTTTCAGCTTTGGCCTGTCAGAGTCCAGGCCACTCAGGAAGAAGCCACGTCCTATATCCATGCTCAACTCTTCCTTAGAACCAGCAGCCAGTGCGGAAGGACAACTGCAGCAGAGCCTGGTCAATTTGTGCAGGGGCCGAGGGGCTGCGTGATGTTCAGTGACAAAAATATGGCTACAGAA